TATTTTCTATTTCATTCATAAATTTTTTCCCTGAACTTTCAGGAAGATGTGACTATTGTTTATCACTTCTCCATTAAATACTTTTTTTTATACCTCATTCATCAAAATCCATGGTTATAACATTTTAAAAAATAACCATGTGAAAATTCAAAGCAAAAAAGTTTTATTTGAGAATTGATTTTTGTGGATTCTTTGAGGTTCTAACTAAGAATCTCGACTCTGTTTCTCCATAAAGAAATGTTTGAAATAATTACAAATAAAAATGTTTCTATTTAATTCATAAATGTTTCTCTAAACTTTTGGGAAGATGTGACTATTGTTCATCACTTCTCCATCAAATACCTTTTTATTTGATACCTCATTCGTCAAAATCCATGGACCATCCATGGTGATTTTTAAAAAAAATTCTAGGTTACAGCCTTGGTTAAAATTTGAAGCAAAATTTTTATTTTTTGATTTGATATGAAAATTCGTATTTGAGTTTTTTTCAGATTTCAAAATAAAAATCTCAACTCTGTTTCTCCTTAAAAAAATGTTTGAGATAAGTACGGAAATAAATATTTCTATTTCTTTCATATCTTTTTCCACTGAACTTTTGGGAGGCTGTGACGATTGTTCATCACATCTCCATCAAATACCCTTTCATTTGATACCTTATTCGTTAAAATTTTAATAAATTTTTTTGTGATTCTTGAAAAAATCCAAGGCTTATTATCCTAAATCCAAGGCTATAAGACATATTTGCTAAAAACATGAGCACTATCAGATGACTGGATAGAATTTGACATCATTTGTGTACACAATTTGAGGTGAATTTCAAGAATTTGCCTAATAAGCCTTAATTTAATTAATATGGACTTGAAGCTTATTAAACAAACAAGTTTTTCTATTTTTTCATATGTAAGGCAATAATACTTCCAATTTCCTTCAAATTTGTTTAACAAATATATATATATATATATATATAGGTGAAACATCAAAAAAACTAAAAACCAGAATAGAACAACATACATCAAACTGCAAAAATAGTAAAAACATTAATATAACAGCCCTAGCAAATCATAGTATTAAATCACTAAACACTTTTTACTTCAAAAAACCCAGAAATACTAGCAATAGAACCAAAAACAAATAATAGGGAACTGCTAGAAGCCATACATATAACAAAAAACAATAATAGAACAGTAAACTATAAAACAGATACAAAACATTTAGGTACACACTATTTGGATATAATATCCAATATTGAAATTAAAAAAACAATAGAAAAAAAAAACAAACAGCCATAATAAGAAATAAGAGGACAGGTGCAAAGTACAGAAATAAAACTGAAGATAGCCAGATGTTGGTTAGTGTATCAATGAATAAGAAAAGATTTGTAACACCAAAAAATATTTAAAAAATGTGTCAAATATTTAATTTTTGACAAATGGTGCCACATCAAAAAAAGAAAGGTAAATAATTGTACAATAGATGAAGTCAAATATTGGTAAAAAAAAAAAAAAAAAAATGTTAATATAAAATGTGCATAATTTCAGTGAAGATAAAGATTGCTCTGATGATGAGAAAATTGTCCCGAAACCTTAGAGATAACAAATGTAATTAAAAGAATTTGAAGGAAATTGGAAATATTATTGCCTTAAATATGAAAAAATTATAAACGTTGGCTTCCTAATAAAAAAAAAAAAAACATCGAACTTAGCCAAGTTTAAACGCTCAAAAGACCTCTTTAAATTGTTTTAACAATGAGAAGCTCTATTTTCATTTGAAGAAAATTTTATCTATTTTACAGTGAAACAATTGTTGATTACTAAAATTAAATATTTCTTTAGTTATCGCTTTCTATTCATCAAAAAGAATGACTTACTTAAAAAACACTAAACGTCAATTTTCTACTTTTCTTCTGAGAATTATCCCATTGCTTATATGAACTATTTTGTAGGCCTTGAAGTCTACAATTACTCCTATAAAAATTTCCCTTTACTTATTGGACAACCTGTATGTATTAAAATGGTCGTACCTATTTCAGCATAGTTTGACCAAAACTATCAGTTACGAAATTGAAAATATTTGCAAGACGGCAAACACTTTTTCCCTGCCACCTCCACCACTTCTTTCTCCATCTCTTTCAGAAAAGATGTGAATGTAGTAATTTTGATTAATAATTTGACTAAGCAAACCCAGTGAATTTGCTGCAATCCCACAAATATAAAAAAACAAAAAAAAAAAAAAAAAAAACAATCATTGCTTCAAATTTTGATTTGTTCATTTGGAAGTTGTTTGGCTCTCTGTGAAGTTGGACTCTTCCAGTGCATGGATCGTCTCTTCTATTTCAGGATCATAAATAAAACACTGCAATAGTCAATCTGTATTAATAGGATGTATAAAAAAAAAAAAAAAAAAAAGACCATTTTATCTAATTCAAGATTTCAAAGGAGTATAAATATATCAATCCTATTTAATACTTAATAATTCATTTAGAGCATTCTCTAAGCTTGTTTAATACCAATCGACTTCTTCAAAAATAGCCTCAGTTTAGTTATTTCTTTCAAAGAAGAAACATGACAGTGTCCTACGAAATTCTCGTAATTTTATGGCATTAATGGAAAAAACATTTCTGAGGCGCTGAGGCAACTCGTGAAACTATTAAATGTGATGGGGAAGGTGTTCCTGACCAGCACACGGCACGGCATTGGTTTGAAAAATTTAGCAGTGGAGATACGACTTGGAAAGGAATAAGGGCTCCAGGCGACCATTAATGGATACTCAAGAGGTTCTGCAGGAAGCTGTTGAGTCAAATCCTTCCGCAAGTATTCGGGAACTTAGCAGGTAATGTGGTGTGTCGAAAAATACTGTGAGTTGCCATCTAATCTCCATGGGGAAGATGAAAAAGAGCAGCAGACTTAATCCTCAGCAATCAGCCAAGAGGTTAAGACTTTGTGAAAATTTATTGAAAACCCTTCTGATATAAGATTTTACTGAAAGATTGCCACCTGTGATGAAAAGTGGGTTAACTGGCGAAATTGGAATACTTGTGAGCAATGGCTGGATTACGGTAAAACTGCTTTTCTGGTTACAGGAAGGAGGCAATTTGAAAAAAAAATCCATGCTTTGTTTTTTTTTTCTTTTTAAGGTGTTATTCATCACAAATTTGTTCCTGATGGATGTTCTATGAATCTTGAACTCTACTGCAAACTGGAAAGATTGTATGCGAAGTTGTCAGAGCGTTATCCTGCTTTGATCTACCGAAAAGGAATTTTATTCCAACAAGATAATGCTCGCCCTCACACTTCTCTTCAAACTAAAGAAAAGTTTAAAAAATTTCATGTGTTAGAACTCCTGCCTCATCCACCATATAGTCCAGACCTCGCACCATCGGATTACTACTTATTTAGATCCATGGCCCATTTTCTTTATGAGAAAAATTTAATAATTTTATGGAAGTTGAAATTTCGGTCCAACAGTTCTTTGACAGCCATCCCAAAGAATGGTGTCAGTGTGGGATTGAGCAATTGCCTAGCAGTTGGCTAATGACGGTAGATAACAATGGACTATACTTTGAGTATTAACCGTATTTTATATCAAAGAAATAATAATACAAATATTTGGTTGAAAAACGGTCATTTTTTCTATACATCCTGTTAAAAGGAATAACAGTCAGTCTAGAATAAGCGTTGAAAGAGAAAGTCTCAGGCATTCTGAAGGAGCTGACAGAAGAAGACTTCCAGAACTGTTTCAGACAATGAAGATTTGCATAGAGCATTGTAGGGACAGAGAAAGGTTGTACATTGATGGTGATAATACGTAAATATGTATGAAACAAAAATAAAGGAAGGAAATGGTCCAGGGTGGCGATCATAATTAGGCTAAATAGTTTTGCCACTATTTAGACTATTTACGACCGCCATCCCAGACCATCTCCTTCCTTTATAATGCAACGGTCAACTATTAAATATTCAATATGAAACTATGAATTTCAATATAAAAATAAATTGTTTAATGCCATCAGAGATGGGCATATTTATATTCAAAAATATGAATACGAATACGATTTATATTTATGGCGTTTTTCAATATAAATATGAATATATTCCTAAAAAGAAACATGAATACAGATGATGCATATTAACAGATGTAAATATAAATACGGTAAAATACAAATGTATATATAGCTTTGAGTATTAACCGTATTTTATATCAAAGAAATAATAATACAAATATTTGGTTGAAAAACGGTCATTTTTTCTATACATCCTGTTAAAAGGAATAACAGTCAGTCTAGAATAAGCGTTGAAAGAGAAAGTCTCAGGCATTCTGAAGGAGCTGACAGAAGAAGACAGCTCAATCATCTAGTCGACTTTTCCAATTTCCTTAATTGACTTCAGTTTACATAATTAGGACCCTCCTAAGATGTTAGTACAAACATAATTATAATTTCATGTTTAATAAAATTAAAAGTTTATTTATACATCATTTTGTGTTGATAAATACCAACCTTTTTAACATTATTCCAAAAAAATTTAAGAGATTTATTTAATTAACTCCTTACTGTCCAGAATTTTATTTTAATTTTTTGTTTAATTTTGGAAAATACCTAAAGTAAAATTAATATTTATTTAATAAATAAAGAGTATTCATTCATAAGGTTTTGTGAAAATATTTCCATTCACTTCTGTAAATTTAAGAGTATTCATTTTAATAAATGTGAATACAGCCGTATTCACTACTGCAACTGTAAATACAGCCGTATTCACTTTTAAAGTAGTGAATACTGCCGTATTTATATTTACATATTTACACATGTGAATATGCATCATCTGTATTCATGTTTCTTTTTATGAATATAAATATATTCATATTTATATTCAAAAATACCATAAATATAAATCGTATTCGTATTCATATTTTTGAATATAAATATGCCCATCTCTGAATGGCATCAACAATTTTAACCAATTTATTATCATAAGAATAAAAAGTATAGGTGAAATTAAAAAAAGGTAATCATATATATAAGACAAAAAAATAAATAATTTTATATTTTTTAACATACAATGATAAATAATTTAAAAAATAACATTTAAGCAAACAAGCAAATCCCTCCACATGTAGCAACTTTCACTGGTGGTGTGCATTATTGGTCCACTCCGTAGTATATTTACAAAGGATTTTATTGCCAAGACGAAATTTGTAATAATATACTTCAGCTATTTTCAATTCAAACAAGGGTATTATAATACTTTCTGGAAAAAAAAAATATATATAAATCTGCATTAGAATATTCCAAAAATAAAATTTATTTATTTGTTTTAATCAAAATATTAATTAATTAAAAGTAACGTCTTGTATTACTTACTTAGGTACAGATTTATAGTTTGGTGACGGGCCAATCGTAAGCCTGGGGCAAGGCAGGGCCGTAGTGGAAGTCGTACAACTGGCTCTTGATGTACTCCTCTTTGTCTGCAGGTTCAGGGAAGAGAGTGGCCAAACCTAACAGAAAACGGTCCATTCAAAGTAGTTATGAATTTGTAAATAAATAAAATCCAAATTGAATAGATAAATAAAAATGAATGAAGTATAGAGAAACACTTCTCATAAATAAAAGATAGTACTGCTATGATATAAACTGCCAATCTGCCCCGGAATCTACTTTATTACTACTAATTGCATCCATAAACTTTGTTATTTCAACAAAAGATGAATTGGATTAAAGATTCACATCAGTTGAAGAAAAATTAAAATAATTAATATAAACTGATGGATCCACTGAGAAAGGCTTTCGGGATGAAGTTCCCCTCTCATATAGACAAATAAACTATTTTTTCATTGGCCGATATTTGTTTCTGTGGTCTGAGCTAGATACTTAAAAATAATATGTTTACTTTTTAAATTTTAATGTACATATAGCTACTAAATGTAAGAATGTGTCAAGAAAAAATATACTTAAAATAATTATTGTTCGTGTAATTAAGGTTTAACATAATCCTTCAAGTACCACTTAAATATCATTTTCTTTTTTCTTTCTTTATTGTCCAGCCTAATAACTGTAATAATTATATTAAATGTCAATACGCCCACCACATTTAGTGCATATGATCTCTGTATATGGAAACATAATTAAGTATATACCTAGATATATACAATATACAGCATGTCTTAGTTCTTAATGGACAAATTCAGGCTGACGATTCTAGACAAAATTTCTGATAAAAAAGTTCATTTGATGCATTTGGGCCGATTTTGAACAGAAAAGAAATTAAGTCTAATTTAGTGTTTTGTTAAGGTGGTCATGTGGTTTTTATTTAATAAGAAGTAATTGCTCAAAAACTGTTCAAGATAATTAAATCCTAAAATAGACAACATCTTTTTGAGAAAACAGTAATTAAATTTAGTAAGTTCAATGATATAAGTGACTTTAAATTACTAATGTCGATGATAATGATCTCTGTACCTTAACTAATTTAATTACTGTTTTCTCAAAAATAATTTGTCTACTTTACGATGGTGTACTTAGAATTTAATTATCTTGAAAAGTTTTTGAGTGATTCCTTTTTATTCAATAAAAAACGTGACCACCTTAAGAAAACACAAAATTGGTCCTTCACTTATTTTCTGTTAAAAATCAGCCCATACATCAAATGTATATATATATATTGAAATGTATATAGGTAAAAAAAAAATGTATAGATAAAAAAAAAATAGAGAGAAACTAAATGAAATTGAAATATATAAAACACATTCACACCTTTACAAGAAAATAAGTTGATCATATTGCCTGTGTTGCTCAAGGATTTATATACATTGCACATTGCACACATATATTTCTAAAATTCTCACTCTTATTATTTGTGAGTTTTAAATGTAATTTGCTATCAAATTTATTATGTTATATTGTATCATTTTAGAAGTTAATTTTGTATAAAGGCCCTAGGACCTATATAAAAAATATTTCCTCATTTACCTTTTTCATAAGCATATTCAGCAACCTTAACAGCTATTTTGTTAGAACAGTTCTGGATGGTGCCGAGTGGTGGGTACAGGCTTCCGTTTTCTAAATCTTCGTCGGTCACAAGGGCAGCCAAAGCCTGAAAAATTGTAAAATAAATCTCTTACTGTATGATAATTTGAAATGGCATGAAAACCCCAAACAGCTCAATGAGATGAGACAAAAACTATTTAAAAAAGTACAGTTACATTAAACGCATACCTGTGCGGATATGAGGAACATTTCTTCTGGGATGACTTTGATTCCGAAACAAACAACGGCTAGAGCTACACCGGGGAAGATGTAGGAGTTGTTTCCCTGCCCAGGGATCAACTTCCTTCCATTCATCTGGAATGGTGGGAATGGAGATCCAGATGCAAACAAACACCTGCCCTGAAATTAATAAAATCATTTTTTTTTTAAGTAATCAAAATATATTTAAAAAATATTACATTCAGCAGAGACATCTTGAAATAAAATAAAAAAATAATCTTTGTTCTGGGAACAAATCTTGAAAGAATAACAATAATGTACATAATTGAGTTTTTATAATGAAGCTGTTTTACTAAGTTTTATGCTAAATAATCCTATTATAATAACTAATTGAGCTGTTTATTTTGAAAGTGGCCAAACTCCGTTTTTTAATTTTTTACCGGTTACCATGGTTACATGTACAACTTCGTACTATATATATCAGTAAAACATTTCACGCTGCTCATATTCTGAGCAAATACGATAAAATTTTTGACACATAAGTTTTCAGAATTAGTTTAATAACTGAACTCTGTAGTTTGAATGTGGCCTAACTCCATTTATTTTATACTTATATCAAGATATTTACTATTGATAATGTTGGAAAGCAGCGATGAATGTAATTTCAATTAATAATTACTATTTACAAGTTATAATTTTACTGTAAATGAAATGAGACAAAAAGATTTTGTATCAACAAAATTAGAAGACGCAATTTTTAAAATGGTAAAGAATTGTGATGGAGAATCAGTAAACTGGTTACAAATAATTTGGATGCGTTTTATCAGAAATGAACCGTGTAAAATTTTCTATAAGACAACAATGAATGAGAATGAAAATTTTAAAGTCCTGAATTTATTGCCATGTCGGTGTAGACCAAGAAAATTCGAAAATATTGTATTGACACCACACCACTGTATAAAAATATCATACAAATTATAACAAAATTTAAGGACATGATTGACCTATTGCGATATATACCACCGGAACATCATGTCTACTTCAAATCCCTTTCACACGCGCAAAATGTAGATGAATAGTAAATTGTTCGTTAATAAAATGTTTGTAATTTTGTATGTTCTGTAATTATAAAAAATGTTTAGAATCGCATAAATTGTGTTTCCGAAATGTTTTTAAGATATGTAAAATAAATTGAGTATTGTGTTTTTCAATTTGAAGCATCTTAAATTATGTTGAATGGACTTGGGTACCTTCAAATTTTATAATAAATTTGGTAGTTAATTTTGAAAGTGGCCTAACTCCATTCTTGATAAGAAAACGCACATTATTCACTTAATAATTGTTACTATTTTAATAGGAACCACAAATTTAACACCCTTAGATACACTTAAGCAGTATGACTCATTAGGATCCTATACCTATATTTTTAAATTCATTGAAACGCAAACCCTTAAATATCTCGATTCGAAGATAAATGGAGGTAGGCCACTTTCAAAATAAACGGCTCAATTAGTTAATATTAAGTAATAATAATTATTCTATAATTTTATTACAAAAATAATTGAATATATAAAAGTTACCTCTGTAGCAGAATAGGCAGCTTCCGCAGTACATTCAGCTTTACTGGTAGGGTTGCTCAGAGCAAAAATGACAGGCATCTTGTTGAATTTTCCCATGTCCGTGAGGATCTCGGTTGTAAAAGCACCGCCGATAGCAGCAGCACCTGCAACACAAATTGTCCTTTAAATGATACAGTTTTTGTTTTTTTTAACAATTCTAAATGTCAGCCATTTCTGATGATATTTTTTGTTTTATTTTTATTACGTGATAGATAACTAAAAAAAAAAAAAAATGTACAGGATATTACAAACATGATTTGTAAAAAGAATCCCGAATGACTTTAAAAAAAAAAATAATTAAAGAATTAGTTACTGAATGTAGATCTGACATCTCAAAAATTAGATAAAATAAAAAAAAATTCTAAAAATCTTAAAAGAATTATTTGCCAAAAAAGATGTGTAAGAATATATTTATTAGTTGTAATTTATTAAACGAGCATCATGTAATCAATGCTTCTCCAAAATATTCTTCAAATAAGAAAAAATTGATGAATTAAAAAAACAAAAAAAATTTATAAGGTTTGAAAATCAGGGCTCCACTAATGAACCTGAAGGATAGTGTCAATCATAATAATCAAAAAAAGTTATTTTAATTACCTAAAATAATAAATTTAATTTGTATAGTATATATTTATTTATTTTATATATACTATATATTTATTTCAATATCGATTTCCATCAATTTTCAAGTCACAGAGCTATCGAATAAAATTTTCATTCATATTGTGAGAAAAAAAAAATACAGGAAAAAGTCAGTTCTGGGTATAATTTAGCAAATGCAGCGCCTTACGCTATTATCTAAGACCATTGATATATCCTATAAGGAGTAACTGGCAAAAATATTGTATAGCTAAAAATTTACTGTTTCAATAAAAAAGAGCATTTTATACTGTATTTGCAGATTATTGTATCAATTTTATTTAAAGATAAACCTTGCAAAGGAACAAATAATAAATATGGTAATATCCAGGCAATTATGACTTTTTTCTAGAAATCAAAATAATACTAAGTATTTTAAAGTAAATAAAATTCCATGAGTTAAATTGAGCTTTTCCAGCAAATGCCAATCTCGAAAGTGAATGTTGCAGCAGGAAATAAAAAAAAAAAAAAAAAAAAAAAAAAAAAAGATTTTAAAGTTATAAATCAATCATTATTGTGGTATTTTAGGCCTAAAACAGAATACAAACCAATTTATTTACTATAAGGTTAAAAAAGAAATAAATCAGAATAAGTTACCAATGAGAACTGAAGGTTTCACACACTTGACGACATCGCTAAGATTCCTGATGGGAGCCATATTCTTGGCAAATCTTATTTTATGACCTGATATTCCACCATCTGGTCTGTCTTTAACGATGAGCCCCTTTGAGTCAACAAGGAATATTTTTCCCCGGGCATCACTCTCTGATGTTCCTTCAGCAATCATCGCTTTCACACAAAGTTCGGCGATTCCCAAAGAAGCCTATTTTAAATATTATTACAAAATTATTTAATATAATTATAAGAACAGTAATATTATTGAAGTAATAATAATAATAAAATTACAGACCTCTCCTGCTCCTTGGAAAAGAACAGTATGATCTGAGAGGCGAGTTTTGGTTGCTCTCAAAGAGGCAAGGAGACCAGCGACTGCGACGGAAGCTGTTCCTTGAATGTCGTCATTGAACGTACAATAGGAATCCCTGTACTTTTCCAGAAGACGGAAAGCATTGGCATTGCCAAAATCTTCAAACTAAACAAAATAAATAATATACTTTAAATAATAATTTATCAAATAAAATCCATACCAAGTTGAAAAAAAGTTTTTTTTTTAAACTAAAAAAGAAAATAATCTGGTGCGAGCAACACTTGCCCCTCTACTTTGAATAGAAATTATTTTCTGGCAATGTTGGGCTATTATAAAGTTTTTTAAGTGCATTTTAAGCTTAAAGCTTATAGATAAAAAATTATAATTAAAATTATAAAAAGTCTATTTATTATATTGACGATAAACAATAAAAATCTAGTTTTATAAATCACATAACTTCACTCTCTGAGCCTTTCAGTTAACAGAATGACAAACTTAAATTTCAACATTTTTGAGAAATATCATTTCAGTGATATTTCTAGTTGGAAATGTTATATCTATATAGACAGCGAGTAAGTTCATTCCAGAGTAGGTGATTGCAGTGTTGAAATATAAAACTATCAATAAACGTTTAACTTTTGCCTCTAGAAATATAATTAACACTAATAGTAAAGAAAGTTAAAAATGGAGTAAGTCATTCTGTCATTCGAAAGGCAATTTGAAATTACATCTAAATATTTAACCTATAAATGATTATGGATTGTAGGACTATTAGTTATCAAACTGTTATTTTCCATTGTAAAGTTTACTAAAATGAAGTAGCGAGATTTTCATTGCTTACCATGGATAGGTCAAAAGTTGTCAAACTGTAAGTGGATAATGTTGGGATTTCACAAAGGGCAAATTCATCAAATTATTTATTAATTTAATTTTCTAAAAGGTTACTTGATGTTTTTTTTTTTTTTAATAAACGGCCAATAGATACCTAGTTATTTAAATATAAAATCATATCTAGAGTTATTGAGCTACAGCAAATGTATGTAAGGTTATAAACTTATCCATGAAATATTTATATATTTCACTTCTTCTTTCACACAATTACAATTAAATAGTATTTTAAACAATGGCATTGGCATGATTCGGTGGATTTTAAATACTTTTTTCAAACTTAGAAAAAAATTTAAGTTTACATTTAGTAAGAAAATTTTATTTAATTTCATTGGAAACATATGCTTTATGTTAAATAATGTTAGTTTTCTGAAATTATTACTATTTATTTATCATTACCTTCTACATTTTCAGTTATTTGATATTATTTTTTCTAAAATTCTCTGCTTTCCAAGGATAATATATTATATTAAATTTTGTAGAGCCCTGAAAAGCCCAATACCATATGTCCGAATAGACCTGATGATGGTAGTATAAACAAGTTTTTTTTAGAATATTGGAAGTTTAGAGCGTTTTTCGAGTAAGTGTTGTAGCAGTTGGCATCTATTGGCAGTTTCTTTTCTTTTAAATCTGGTATGAAGATTCTAAGTAAGGCGCTTGTCAAGAAGGAGTCCTAGGTAACGGATCAGTTCGACAGGGATCAATGGAATATTGTTAAAGGATATGGTAGGACAGGCTGTTGTAGGTTTACGGCAAAGGGTAAAATTAATTTGTTGGGATTTGTTTGGATTAATTTTAAGTCTCCAATTTTCACACCATTCTTCATTAACTGAAATGTGTGACTGCAGGGATTGCGATGAAATAGTTGGTTCATTATTGACAGATAACACATGTGTCATCAGCATAGGTAGTGAGGATGGTTGAAAAATATAAAAATAAATATAATTATTATAAACAAATAAACCAGATTTGTTTTTCTTTTATTAGTGTTAACTTTATCTCTGAGGATTTATTTAAATAATCGTATTAATACACAGTACTTTAAAAAATATTAATTAAATATCGAAAGTGTAGAACAAGAAAGATTATATTTATTTTATTTGCTTGATTTATTTTCGTGGATGATTCATATAACATTTATATTCAGTTGGCTGATTATTTAACTTTTTTTACTTTCCTACCTATACTAGGTAAGGAAAGTATTGCGATCAGGTCAAATTTCTGATATGTAGTTTTCGACTGATATATATGTTTCAGAGCCCTCTGACTGCGAAAAACACATTTTTAGCTATTGGTCTGTCTGTCTGTGCCAAGATTTTCTCGGGAACTACTGAACCGATTTTGTTGCTTCTTTTTTTATTGTGTAGGGTATTGACTACTGATGCCTGTGACAGAAATTGGGTGCTCCCTGAGTGATAGATGCTGCACAATAAATTAAAATATGTTTTTCTATAAACTGTAGTGCGAAAACGGCTCTAACGATTTTGATGAAACTTTACTATAATGTTCTAATGAATGTCCTTTCAATTTTCGTATATGGACTGAATTCCCGAGGAAATTCAGGAAAAAGTTATAAAGAAAAGAAAAATGTTTTGGGGCCTAACTCGCAAAGTATATATTATATGGTAAAATTTATAATGAAACTTTTGAAAGGTAATTAAATTACCAACATAACAAAAAAAAACATCAGATTTTGAAGGATCTATACGTTTCAGAGCCCCCCGAGTCTGAAAAACACTGTTTAGCCTGTTTTTTTGAAACTTAATGAAATTCTCTACAAAACTATACAAAAATTGTTCATTTCGAACAACTATTAACGAAGTTACAGCTATTCAATTTCTAATGTAAGATTACGAATACATATCCTGGTGTCAAAAAGAGGTGAATAAAAGAAAAAAGATGACAAAGTGAAAGTAAGAAAATCTGTTGCCCACATCATACAAGTTCAATATTTCCTCTACTTTTAACAGAAATAATTGTTTGACAAAATTAAGCTATGGCAAAAAGTTTTTGATTAACAATATTAGAGGGTATTGAAATTTTTATATTGATCTACCTTAAGCTGGTTTATATTGCTTTAGTTTATCAAATAAATTGTACTCAAATCTTTGTTTTGATAAATTATCAGGAAAATAATTCGAATTTAATTTCTTTTTCTTCTTGATGGACATATGACTCATGACTCAGGACTCATGACTTATTTACTATTTTAACTATACTATGTACTAGACAGACTAGGTTTTAAATACTATGTTAATTAATATTTTTAAAAATATGAAAAGATTTTAGGGTTACCTATCTCTAATCAATCCATTGCAGGGATGTTGGAATACTGGTGCAATTAAAATGCCCTTAGATTATTCTTACAAACTTATTTACTTTCTCGCTTATTTATATATATATATACAATTTAATCTAATAAGCTAAACAATAAATAACCTGAATGAGGACATTTTGTCCGTATCTTTTCACTGCAGCTTGCATGAACTCTTCGACGAATTCATCGTATACCTCTCCCCTCACCCTGGGTTGCCTAAGTCCAATGTAGAATGGGTCATCGATAAGTTTCTAAAAATAAAATAAAATGGATGTAAAATAAAAAGGAAAAATAATTTTTAAATTAATACATTTAATAAACTGAATACGTTTATCATACTCAAGATAAGTAGTATTGAAAATACCTGAGTATTGGTCCCGACATCGAGGGTAACGGGAAGGAGCTGACTCGGGCTGATTCCGGCAAGAGCGGTGTACAAGGCCAGCTTGCCGACTGGGATACCCATACCGTACGCACCAAGATCTCCCAGACCCAGGATCCTTTCTCCGTCTGTGACCACGATAGCTTTCACATCATTCGATGGCCTGTAAATAATTATTATATAGTATGGTATCGTCAGGAAATTAAACTTATTTGGTAACTGAGTAATAGTTATTTTAATAACTAAGTGAATATAGACAAAACATACCTAATCATTCTTTTTGATTCTTAGGAGATATGTTAAAGATTAACAAACAAAATAAATGAATGCAATGAGAAAACGATGAAGGAGAAAAAGATGTAGCACAAAAATTACATTATAGGAATAGACCTGATGAAAAATGATAAAAAAAAAAAAGTAAATATTTATTAACTATTTATATGCTTTTTATCAATCATAACAAACTTAAACTTGATAATAATGACCAGTAATATCAATGTTGGAAAAGATCTTAATAGTTCATATTTTATCATAATCATAAACCTTTAATTACAAATTCCATTCTTCTAATACTTTATTTATCTTGTTTCAAGATGACTTTTCCATTTCCAAATATATTTTACTTAATACACAGTATCTGCATACTTTTTACTGGAAATCTTTTTATATTATTTCTCAACTTTTTTTTTGTCTGTATGCCATATAGCCGTTAATTCTTCATCAAATGCAATTATAGAACCATAATTTTGAAGATTATTTTATCCTTCAGATGTGAAAAATAAAATAACAACATCCCACAGAAAAGTCTGGGAAAAAGTTACGAAGAAAAGGAGAATTTATATGTGCATGGTTAAAAAACTATACTAATTATATCCGCAAGAATAAATAATTAATAAACATAATTAGAAATATCTTCTGATTCCTTATAAAATGGAGAACAAAAAATCAACAATAGGACCAGAAAAGAAACAATCTATTTTAATTTGTACACAAGCTGTGATGTATTATAATATTACGATTGAAATTAATTTTTTTCCATTTTTAATACATTGCATTACTTATTTCCGTATTATACTGCCATCTATAATTCAGCTATAAATCTATTCACTGCGCTATAACTATGTGAATTATTTGCCTGGACAACTAGTATGTAAACACTAATATGTCTAAGAATAACTTATTTTAAAAATATAAATAATTATCTACATTTAAAAAAAAAAAAAATAGACGGATACTATGTATTGAGTAAAATTTATGGACAAGTCATTCCAGAATTTCATAAAATACATGAAGTGTTAGAAGCATGAAGGTTGTTATTAAATATTCCAAATCATCATAAAATTGAAACTAAAATAAGGATTTTATTGTTTTGACCCAACACATAGGTAATCATCAGAACTAAACATTAAAAAAATATTTTATTAATATAAATATTTTTTTATTTTTAGCACTGATAATGACCTCGATATTTGAGTCGAAATGGCGGCAAACTCAATAAATATAATTTTTTTAATTGAAGAGAAGTATGGTTGGTGTGATGAATGATCAGTCAAAAAATAAAAAAGTAATAATAAATAAGTATATTTATTATTATTATTTTTTTTTTTTTTTGTTGACTTATTACCCCAACCATTCTTCTCTTCAATTATTCACTACAGTCAACAATTAATCCATAATAATTTTTTTAATACAGATCCTGACCATTTTCAACAGTCAACTATACATATATCCATCTCAGAAACTAAAATATTAACCTTCAAAGCAGAAATAAAGATAACATAGTATATTGAAAGTTCTTATTTCATTTATTTATTTTGAATAATTGGGAATGGTAAAATAGTTAAACATTTTTAATAAACATACCAGTTTTTGATGACATCATAAACGTGCCCTTTGTCGTGAATTGTGATGAAAAGTCCCCTAGGATGATGGAGTACCTTGCCGTAATTTTGACAAGCGAGACCGACAGTCGGGGTATATACAATGGGCATCACATCTTCAAGGTTTTCGTTGAGGAACCTGTAGAACAGCTGTTGATGCCTTGACTATAAAAAAGGAACAAAAAATATATTACCAAAATTAATACTCCAAAACCATATAGATTAATTAGATTAAGGTTTAGTTTAATAAAACTAAGGTGATGATTTTTCATTGAAGTGCCAATATTATTAAAACGTTATTGGGAAGTAAAATTATCTAAACTTTATTCTTATTGTAAACATCTTAAAATGACTTACTCATCATTGTTCAAGTCAGTAAGTATAAGTTTTAAGGTAGATAAAAAAAAAAAAAAAAATACTAGGCAACAAATTGGCGAATTATTGAGATTGCACTTAAATCACTTTTCATTTTAACAGTTTAGCCTTTTTTTATGTGGAATAGAAAATATTCTAATTGAATCATTAATAATTTATTAAAATACATTATAGAAGTGAATTTTCATCTAGTACCTGATTTCATTTTTTAAAACATTAAATTTGAGTTAACATTAAATTTAACTTTTTTTTTTATTATGTATAACTTAATACCTCATGATGCAAATGAGAGGAAAGAAATGAGCTTTACTAGAAATATTTTTTTCCAACTATGCCATCATTTGTTAAAGCCTTTGATAACTGAAATAGTAAATTATTACCAAAGAAACACACTATAAGGAAACTAAATTAACTACATTTTTATTCCTTATCTTGTATACCTAATTATACAATAATGATTTCCAGATAATATTGTTAGCACCACATTAAAGTAAATAATGTAAAAAAAATCACATTTTTAGAATTAAATGAACAAAAAGAAAGGACTCAAAGAAGTTAAAAAAATTATTAGTAATAGAGAAAATAAAATTTTTTTTTTTGTCTCCTAAAAAAAAAAAATATATTTTGACTTGAATCTGATACTCCTTTATGTCTTATCTTTAACTATAGCTTAAAAAATATTTTGTGATTTTAATTTTATTAACTTTTATGTAACTTCTATTGGTAAAAATTTTAAATTTATTCTTTTTGATTTTGATGTGCATAAACCTCATAATTTCACTGCATTACTTTTAATTTTGTATTCTCCTCATTATGAATTTCCACTATATATATTAGTCTATTATGTTTTAATGCTACTTGATTGATGTAGTTTTATAAACCTGAAAAAAGACTATTAACTTGGCCTAAAATTACATAGTTCCCTCGGCCCTATGAAAAATAAAATACTGATAATAAATTATTTTTTGATAAACTAAATTAACGAATTATATGAAAACTCACACTCAGATCCATGACGTAAATGTACTTCTCGAGAGGGTCTTGAATCTGGTCGAAGATAGCCCTGACTCCCTTGAGCTGCTCTTCTTGAGACTTGACGACGGGAGGTAAGAGTCCATGGATGCCAAGTTGTTGCCTTTCTTCAAAAGTGAAAGCCAAGCCCTATAACAATAAACAATAAACAATAGTTAGACATTATTTCAATTATAAAACATTCATTTTTATAAAATTTAAAAAATAAATTATTTAACAGAATAATTAGTTATAAGAGGATAGTTGAAAGAAACAAAGTTCACTTTACTTAAATATTTGTTTATTAATAGAAAAATTTTGTACGAATTGAGCTTACAACCAGCACATGACACATCCTTTCACTGATTTTATTTTTAAAATAAACAAATTACAATAGTTAATTTATAAGATCGTTTAACTTTAAATCTTACTTCAATTTCACATCTACATTTATACTCAAATGCCCCATGACATAATTCTATTTAATTTTATATAACTGCTTTATTATTTTATTTTGACTGCCCCCATTTCGAATGTTATTATTGTCATTTTCGATCCTTTTAAGTACGATTTTTTTTTTTATAATTGTCTATCTAATTTTCTGATTGTTACATCTTGAAGAGGAAGAAAATTTAATTTTATACTGAGACATGTATTCCCCAAAGCATAATGAAAATGAACAATAAAAGTGATATTTGTCTGGTATAAAATGACAGTCAAGAAATAATTAAATTAGCGAGTTATGTAATCTAAAAATTAAATACAGGATATGTAAAAAAAAATAAAATTGTAGGTATGATTGTGTGTGTATGTGTTTATATAAATATTAATACACAATTATTTTCAATTAATTATGTTTTCTTATATTGGATTCATTACTTAATATATATTCATATTTATATAAAAATATTAATCAGTCTTTCAAAGAAAAAAACATGGTATAGATTAAATAACTGATAATAACTAACAAGAGTACCTTCACATAGGGCTAAAAGTTGATATACATTAATTATTTAATTAGAGATTTCCACCAAAAAGTATATCGCTATTGTTAGTTCAAAAAGATCGTATGTAAAAATTGAGTTTTTAAACAAAAAGAAATAAAATATTATTTCTTTATGGTTTATTAGTATAATATCATATTTTATTCATCTCTGCTATTTTGCTGTTTAGCAGACTACTTATAGCAGTGGCAGACTACAAAATGTCACTTTTAGTGCAAAAAAATAAATTGTTACATAGGACCTTATGTTATCCAAAAAGAAAAAAAAAATCATTTGCATAATCCTAGAAGTTGATTTGGAATCAATATTTTATTACAGTAAAATTACAATATATAACTAAATAAAAAAAAAGTGGTTATTAATTAAAAATTTTCAGAGAATATAGTGTTTTGACAAAAATATCCCTAAGTTGAGGGGGAAAAAAAGTATGCCTATATTTTGACTGAAATTTACGTCCAATTCTAGGTATTGTTCTGCCTAGAAAACTACAACTTGTACCAAATTTCAGCTCATTAGGTACAATCAAAGTTCATAAATATAAAGGGAGGGGATGGAAAGGAAAAATACTTATATACCTGAAACCCACAAAATCCATGTTCTATGGGTTATAAAAGGAATTTAAAGTGTACCACGATCTCTCTTCGATTACTTCCAATACAATATCAAAGTCTTATATTTTTTTTTAATAAAATAGGACAACAAAAAAAACAAGGAACAAATACTTACAACTGATAATAAACTCCCAATCTAAGTTGAATAATCATTCTTCATATTTTTAAAACAATAATCAATCCACAAGCATACACAAATAGTAATAGTTAAAATTATTAATTTTAAATATTTTATTAGAGTTGCGTTCTTGTGGTGAAATTCACTCACCGATAAGGTCTTCCTAAGCCACCTCAACCTGCAGAGTGCGGACATCTCGTGTACTAAACTAAAGGTCCATGCCAATTTACCAATTAACCTTGGCCGTCAGTTGAGCAATTGGCAAGGGAGAGCACAAGGTGTCATGAACGATGCATCCCGATAAAGATAACAGATATTAAACGGAACAGCTAATGATTTGTTCAGATACAAGAACGCCAAGCAGTTCAAACGCCTCGTTTGATATTTAACCCGAAGTGGGAACTAGATTTCAGACCAATGGTACGACGTAACGACGAATGTTTTATGTCAGATAACAAAACGGATTGTAAATCAAGTCCTTGTGCAACTTCAAAACGAATAAATTAAACTGAAAAATTACTTCAAAGAATTTTCAAGACTCAATGGTATTGCTTTAATTAAAAACTGAAAGGAAAACAGCTATTTATATACAGTTATTTAAATTTTATCATGCTTTTAAACAGTTTTAATCATATAAGAAAAGAAAAAAAAACAGGTGATTTGCATTATTGTCCAACTCATTTTCAGTATCTGCAGTAGTATTCCAAAAGAGTAAAGTAAAGAAAATACTTCAGTCTCAACACTAGCGGATCCAGGATTTAATTTTTTTTGGAGGGGGGGCTTCAGCCCGAAAGTTTTTTTTCATAAAAATAACGATAATTACTTTGGAAAAAAAGAAAGAAGATACTACCTATATGAAATGGTGTTTAAGTGATTCCTAAAGCCCTTTTAAATGTAATTACACGAACAATAATACTTTAAGAGATACTTTTTTTTAAAAAAAAGCATGGTTATATTTTAGAATTTTTTTGGGGGGGGGGGGGAGGCTTCAGCCCGAAAGCCTCCTCTCCCCTCCCCGTAGATCCGCCCGTGAGTCTCAATAACTTTCTACGAATACCGTATCGCAGTATTTCCACCTTGCTTACTGTACGACAGTATGGGCAACTTCCAGACTCAGCACTAATCTGTCAATGGATTGATTGATGAATTGCAATTTCATTATAAACTCAGTGTTATCATTACTAAATTTAATTTATATCCAGTTTATTTGCTATCTATATTTATTTCTGATTTTAAACTAAACAATTCAGTGAGTAAATGCACCAGCAGCTGACATGCTCAAAGAAATGTCTTTGAACCGTTACGTATAAAAACTTAAATATTAATGATGTTGTATTTATCATGGATTTATCTTATAGAACTATTTCCCAAGTTACCAAAACATATTTCGAATCCATGAAACACTCATCTAAATTAAAAAAAAAAAAATGAAAGTTAAGAGAATAGTTTTGTTGCACCATTAACTGACACTGTTTGATTTGGAATGTTCCTATAAATGACAGGGATGAGAACAACGATGTAACTAAGTGAAATTTCACATTATTCATTTTTAAAGATTAACAAAAATTGTCTTTAACTTATTATAAAACTGACTTCTTGTATTTACCGACTTGAATTTATCAATAAATGCTGGTCACCGTCAAGAACCTGTTTTTGGCAAAAGGAAAACCTATTTTTGCTTTAAATTTAATCCAAATCATTAGCATTTTTTTACAATACACTAGTGAATGGTCGCATTTTTAACAACAACCAAGAATGGTTGTTATATTGAATATATCTCTTTGAATTTATGAGAGCAGAGGCCTGTCAACTACTCGCAAAAGTTCCTATTATAAGGTTCCAGTAACAGACACCCTTTAAATATCCCATTCCTTCATCAAGATCAGTTAAAAACAGATAAAACATAATTTAAAAATACGCCAAAAACCAATCAAACAAAAATTTTGGAATAAATAAAAGCAGTTAAAGAGAAAAAGGCAATCCTAAGGTATGGTGCTCTTACTGACAGATTGCAGTTTCTTGGGCACGAAGTGGACCGTGAGAGACCTTCCTAATTTGCTACTTATTATATCGTTTGCGATTTCCGGTAAGACTAAAGCAAATCAGACAAATATACCAAGAGAAACTAAAAATATATGAAATAGAGATCTAGGAGGTACTGACATTTTATTATTCCCATTCTTCGAGAAAGATGTCAGGTATTGGTGCTTTTATCCTATAAATATAAAGAAATATTTACCTACTGAGTTGTTGAGCTTCAAAACAGAAATATAGATAGAAATTAAACTGAATGTAAATATTTAAAATAAAATTGAGAAATAACAGCACTGAAGTTATAATAAGGTTACATCCAGCGGATCCATCGACCCAAAAAACCGATGGAACACTGATATATCGGTGATTTAATTTATCAATAAAGAGACGCACTGAATTCCATTTATCGATCTATCTATGAGTTTGTATTTTTTTTTTTTTTTTTTTTGTATTGCTGAATATTTGTTTTTTTTTAATTTCTAATTTTTTAATTCATGAAATGTATTTCAGTGAAATGTATTTTATTTTCTAATTATCTTCAACACACTTCTCGCTATGTTTATATATATGTATACTTTATTTTATTTTTTCTTCTCCTAATCTTTACGCATAATCACTTAAATATCTTAGGGAACATATGTATATCATTATTTTTTATATTTTTTTGTTTTAGTTTTTACAATTTCTTTCCTTACATATTAACAGTTATTATTATTTTTTTAATTTTTATATTCCATCACTACAATTCTTTACCTATAAAATAGATTTTGCTTTCCTTTCTAATTTCATTCAGTGATTATTATGCTATTGTTTTAGCTCCAATATTGTAGTACTGAACCCCTATTACCCAACTGTCCTCGTTAATTTATCCTAAGAGCTTAATTAATACTTAATTTATTACAAGTATTTTGTTATTATTCATTGTAATAAGTCTTTTGGCCAGATTTATGGTTAATATATATGAACAATACTGTTATTCTAAAGGGACCTAGTCCCAGAATAAATATGATTTTTCTATTTCTATGAGTTTAGAAACGGCCTAATGGATTTTACCAATAGTATGTGTTGAAAAGGCTAGTTTTATAATATATTGTGTATACGAATAAACATGATTCGCTGATGTAGCTTATAAGTCGAGGGTTACGCGTTGCTCACAATCACTTCGGTCACACTTGTTTATGGAGTGCCGAATGCATCTGCGTTTATTCGGCGCTTTATGAATAATTGTGACCGAAGTGATTGTGAACAACGCGTAACCCTTGCGGTTCTCATCCAAATAATTACCGTCGTATGCATTAGTAACTATTTATGTGAGAGTTTCTACTGTGGTAAACGAGTACTTTAAAATTGCTTGTCAAATATATTCTGGGCTTTTAACATTGGGGTACATACATATTTCAGTTATAGTCTATTTTTATGAATCTAGCTAAAACAAATTAAAATATATATTGATTATCAGATGAAGATATATAGACACCTTGGACAATGGATATCTGCGATGTCTACAGCCCTGCGGAGATCGAACATCAATATTTTTTCTTTATAGTTAATTATCTAAGAAATGAGATTAACGAGCAATATATTAAGATAACACATGCCCGTTAAAATAGCTAACATTAAACAACCTGATGGAATATAATACACCTGAGCCCAGAGGTGATTTATATAAGAGCAGATAGGATCTCGACCAGTCAACAAGTATCCGTGTCATATTTTAATAAATGGCCAGTTATACATTATGTAAATCGACCGTTATTAGTCGATATATCGAAGCAGAAGATGTTTATCGATTAATTCACCTTCGACTCGAGGGGATAGCCCAGTGAAGGGAAGGACCTCTGATGAAACGCAACACCGCTCCCACAGCGGCCCAGTTTCGCGCATAAGATAGTACTGACGTCATTAGGGCAATCTGGAATGACTTGCGCGACCTTGCGCAGGTTGCGCGGCCCAAGGGCAGGTTGCGGAGACGGGCAGTCTGCGAAGAGCAAACATGGAGTCGGATGGAATAGAGGCTTCTTAGAATGGAAAAATATAACTATGTTTACTAGAAAAAAGTATTAAAAACTATATCTTAATCTAGTATTGTTCGTATAATTACGTTTAATAAGACTTCAAGAATCACTAAGACACCATGTCATTTGGGAAGTTAGTTTCTTTCTTTTTATTTCAAATTAATTATCGTTATATATATGAAAAAAAATTCCATTGGGCTGAGGCCCTCCCCCCCCCCCCCCAAAAAAAAAATAAATGAAACCCTGGATCGATAATGCATTGTTATGAAATTATAAACATAATCTTTAGATCACTTTTAATAAAGATAGTGCATGCCACTTCAACAACATAATAATGGTCAGCAAAAAAAAAAAAAAAGCTGGTGCAGTGCCCGCATGATACAACTTTCACTTACCACAATATTCAGAGTAGAAGAATTGTACGGTTGCTCAACTGTGTTGAGTAACTAAACGACTCAGCATACTGTCTTAATAGATAATATTTAATAAGAGAGAACTGAAATGATAAAGGATAACGGAACTATCATCCTAAGTACCCAATGTTACAACTAATTATTTGTTATAATTCTGTACCCCGGAGGTAAACAACCCCATGTCCATTTTTGTATTTCTTCAAGGGAGCCAATGTCCCATAACTTCGAGCTATTCAAATTTGTTTCTTATTTACTAAATCTGTATCCCGAAGGTAAAAGATACAAGTCACATTTTTTTATTGGTCAAAATTGACAGAGGAGTCAATTTTCCATAACTTTGAGCTAATAAAATCTGTTTTTTAGTCATTAAATTATTTTATGAAAAAAATGGGCATGGTGTCGTTTATCTCCGAAGCATAGAATTGCCTCTTCGTTTCTTTTCTTCTCACAAGGGTTCTGTACCTAGAATTCATAACGAAGTGGGCAGAATTAATGCAGGTGATGGTGCATGATTCCTTGCGAGTCCAAAATAGTGGATACCTTCTAGTGTTGCCAAAATCAGTCTTGGTCTTGCACTTTGCACGACCAAGACCAACACCGCCTATCTGTTGCAAGACCAAGACCAAGAATCGTAAAAAAAAACATGGATTTCTTGAATAAAAATTGAGGCAAAATAGTTACTAATATTTGACAATTTTAGTTACTACATATATAAAGCATTGGTGTGACCAATATACTTTTGCATTAAAATCTTCTAATTTTTCATTCAGACTTAGTTAGGTTTCTCATATCTAAAACAATACAGTAATATCTCTCCAGTAATAAGATAGTAGGTAAGACCAAGACTCGTCTCGGTCTCGCATTTGGACAACACTAATTCATTCACACTCTGCTTCTGATTCCTCTTCCAAAAAATTAGCAGTTAAAAGTGGAATTTCTCCTCTATTTAACGAAAATCGAAAATTATCTCACCAAATTCCTGTCTATATTTTTCCTGTAGGTACGGAATTTTTTTATAGATTTATTCTTTTTTTTTCTTTTGAGATCTTGCTCCTCGCCGTATTTTCATTCATTGGGAAGTAATAGTAAACAATTATAGACGGTATTCATTCAAAATAATTTATTACCAAGCTTTCCCATCCATGAAAGCAGTTAAATTTATTACAGAGATGTTCACTCACGGAAAGAACTAAGTAAAGATAAATAAATATTTTACCTAAATATCATTACTATTACCGTCTACCAGTTTCTCATATTTACGTTATCTTGTCTTTTCTTAGGCCTGATGAAAGCCTGAAACTT